GGTTGGAAACAGGATCGCCCCTGGCCTGTCGTTAGGTTTTTTGGGCGAGCCCAGGAGTTGCGTGTCGTTCGCAACGTCATATGCTGGGTCGAGCTTTTGCTAGGAAGCAGGTCCATGAGGGACCCCGGGTTTATGAACCCGATAGGAGCCCCAGGTGATTCGGGTGGAATCGTTTGAGGTATTTCTCATCTTAATGGCGGGTGCGCGCGAGCGCACCCGCGAGTGTAGCTCCCGAGTGATTCGGGTAGAATCGTCTGGGGGGTTTTTTGTTTTGCCAGCAGGGGAATTTTTGTTTTTGATAGTGGGGTGCGCGCGAGCGCACCCGCAGGTGTAGCCCCCAAGCCTGCGTCCGACTGAAGAGTCGGTTGGAGGCTGAGCATCTTGGTACTCTTTCCTGGGGCCGCAGACTATCGTTCGGGATGTTCGTCCGTGTTTGTCCCTCTCGCGACTTGTACGGTCAGTTGATTTCTCGAGTCGATATCGGACAACCTGGTCCCCTAAGCTCCGTTGGGCTTGATAGGGGTTGGTCTAGTTCCGTGCGTTACCCCGTCCACGGTTTCCGCAACCGGAGGGGCTGAGGTAACGTTGCTTGCCTCGATGGCTCGAGTGACGTGCTCGGTGAGCTTGCTAATGGGCACGTTCGAGTGGAATTCGGGTCCGTCGTTTGTGACGGGGTCGGCTGTCACACCCCAAAATTTCTGATTTTGGGTTGTGCATAGAAAACACTAAATAAAATAAATTATTTTAATATTTAGATAAAATTTACCAAGTTTAGTTTAAGCCAGCGCAAATTTAGTTATAGGAAAAATGTGAATTTTCAAAGTTTTCTAATTTTGACGGGCTTTTGGGTGATGTGATGTTTGCTTGTTGCTTCTTTGTGTGTTGAGAGTGAGCAAATTCTTTAAAATGCATTAGTAGATCGATTTTCCTTCTCCGGCACGCCTTTATCTACAATCAAATTCTTTGTTTCTTGGCTTAAGTTTTCATTGGAGCTTCCTAAAATATTTTCTTTGTAACGCAAATCACTCCTTTTAGTTCTTCGTCCGTCAATCAATCTCTACAAACTTCTCGGAAATTTTTTTAGCTTTTTCTAGAACTTGTTCCAACTTGTCCGTGAGCATAATTTAATTTTTAGATGCTCCAAATTAATTTATCATGGGCTCCAAATACTTTATTTGGGTTCCTCATGTTTCATAATGTCTCTGAGAATTTTCTCTGAATTTTTAGAGCTTTTGGAGTATTTTTCGTGGCTTAAATAATAATTATAGACTTTTCTGGAATTATGTTATCCACGAAATTAATTAATTCCAAAAATAATAAATCTCTCATTTTTCTCAATGCTCAAAGCCCATGTGCAATAATCCTAATAAATTCTAAAGGCCCATGCATTTATTTACTAATGAGCTTTAATGATTATTTAGGCCCATTAGTGTAGGTGGATGGTATAACGTCAATTAGTACCATATCGCTAGTTGACGTAGATGTGTGACATTTTTCTTCCTATATATATCTACCAACCCTTTGGGTAAAGTACGTCAAAACTACCGTATGGGAAACCCCTAGTTTGAGAAATTCTTCGTGTAGTAAATTAAATTTTTCTCCTCCTCGCCATCGACCGCCGCCGGCCGTGGCTACGTGACGTCCTCTCAAGCTTCTGGAGCGCCGCCATCATGGGGAGATCCATCCGTTGCCATCAACTTCATCTCTGGCAGTGCACGCAGACCATACATCGTTTCGGTAAGTTGCTGTGCCTGGCCTGCCGATCTACCATCAGCTGTTGCCTATGCCGAGCAGAAGCATGCAAGCCGCATCTCGATCTCTACTAGCACCAGGACGCCTCCATCAGCGGAAGCAAGCTGCTAGGTCTTCCGTGCACCCTTTGCCAATGCTCGATCTTCATTGCCGTGAATCTACGAGCCACCGAGCATCCTATGAAGGTACATGTCCTACGTACCTGACCTGAATTGCTCTCTCTAACTTGCCCTGTTTTATCTCCTACTAGTCATCACGTGCCTTTGACTAAGCTTTTCCCAACAGGAAAAACTAGCTGCATCCTTGGCTGACCGAGCTGCTGAGCTGCTGGCCTGCTCCCAAAACTCCAGAACCTTGCTGCCGTCAACTTCCTTGTGTCCAGAGCTCTCTGATACTTAAGATAAATCTACAAAGGTCGTCCCTCATTACGCGCTAAGTTTTCTGTTGTTTCATCATTTTAAATCCTTTCAAGTTACATTGAGATCATAGTGACGTAATTTACGTGTTATAGGCGTTGATCGTGTGGTATGCTTGTAAACTTTATAAATTACATGTTTAATTTATTTATTAATTGTGTGCAATTGACTTTCGAATTAAAAGCAATATAAGTTTAACGTCTGTTTTTATATGTCAAATGTTAACTTGATTAATTACAGCATTAATATGTTTTTAATTTGTAATCTGCTTAGTCTAAACATGTTTCAAACATAAAAACTAGTTTAGATGCTCACTTGTTTACTTTCTTTTCATAAAAGAAATGTATTTGCTTATAGATGATTCTCTAAACATTTATAAATAATATATAGCTAGATTTAACTCGGTAATTAACACATGATTTTGTTCAATTAAAAATAAAACATGATTACTTTTAACTCGGCTTTGAACCAAAATATAATTTAACTAATCTGAGTTAATAACTATGGTATGGTTTTATTTAATTAAAATAAATCAAGCACGTAGTCTTTATTTCCCTTTTATAATGTAAACTTTTCGATAGCCATTCTTTCTAACGGTAGCATCGTTTGCGGCGTTTCTTGTGATTTTGTGACCGTAGCAACTATCTCTCTTTTAGTATGTTGTTTTCTCTTGTGTGGTGTATTGTTCTTAGTTTTCTATATTTGCTTCTTGCATGTTTTCCTATGCGTGATGTTTGCTACGAGTAGAATGAAAGCCGTATGTGACCACCGAAGATCAGAAGGTGATGACCAGAAACAAAGTATGAGGAAAATATGATCAAGTGTAAAAGGCAAGTATAGCATGAGATCTTTCTTGTTACCTATTCACCTTTAATCATTTAATTCATATTGCATGTGTCTACCTTGACTACCACTAAGGATATCCTAGTTTTTTGTACTTATACCTTGATACCTACGGGGTATTGCATTGGGTAGTATGATGCTAGTGCTCAACTACAACTATGATCTTGTAACTTGACTAATAGTATATGCAATAAACATTAAAAGATATTTTTTAGCAACATGGAACAAGAGGTCTAGAGCATTGGGCTATTTTTATGGTGCACTAGATTCCTCTCCTTGAGGACTTATCTGTAAGTGATCATCCGGGACTTACAGTACAGCTGTGAGGGCTACATGGCTCTGGCTTTAGCTCACTATGAGGACATTTTCTAGCTTGTTAGTGGTTACCTTTATAGCGCAAGAGGGGTGTGTTCCGGGTTGGATATAGTGCAGCCTCTGTCCGTCAGTGTATAGGCTGTGCGTCATTGTGCCTGCCGGAAGGGGAGCTCTACATTCGCAGGCCACAGAAACCTAGCGGCCCTAACTTGTTAGACGAATCTTTGAAAGGCTTTATAGTGAACCCTGCCGACCTTCCTTGGTAGTGGGTCAAGAGGTTGGCCGCCTCGGGCGAAAGGGTAAATCACGACTCACAGTGAAAGTGTACAACTTCTGCAGAGTGTAAAACTGGTATATCAGCCGTGCTCACGGTCACAAGCGGCCTTGGAACCCTTACGGAATAGATGATCACTAATGGTTAATGATGATGAACACAGATGATACTAATGATGAATATGTTCATTAATGAATACTGTTTATGCTATTTATTATTCATGTTTACCTGATCATGTGTTTATATGGGCTTGTGATAAACTTGTTGCTACTCCTATGCTAAAATTATGACAATTAAAAGCTAATCGCAGTTAAACCAGTGTCAGCCTTTTGAGCCTCATGAACCCCGTGTTATATTTGCTGAGTACGACATGTGCTCATCCTTGCTATTTCTCTACACCCTCAGACTCTAGTAAAAGTTGCTCAGAAGATTGGTGAAGACAACGAAGGAGTTCTCAGGATACTATCAGAAGTGTTTGGCGTACGTAGCCCCCAGTTAGCCGTCTCTGTGAAGAATGGAGCCTAAAGATTAGCTACCATTCCGTGATACTCTGATGTAAGTATTAAATATGAGTATGTTTCGTTATATAATAAAGCATTGTCTCTTGATACTATTGTAATTTGTCGCTATATGTGTGATTTGACTTTCTGGGTACACATATAGTTAGTACTCAGTTTTGTCTTTAAAACTGGGTGTGACATCGGCATAGCCCTCATGTGGCATTCCACTGCTCCTTAACCCATGTCCCGGCAGATGCCCGGGTCGTTCCAGAGACCAACCCAGGTGGCCTGCTGGCCTCCCCTCGATGGAGATTCTATGGGCATGGCTCGAGGTTAGGATCGAACGAGAAGGTTGAGATGACCCTTTCTGCTTCGGAGTAGACTGGGCGAGGGCCACTGGGGCTCGTCTGTATTTTTCTCCCCTAGCTCTGTTTGACGCGAGGCGGCCTTGAGCCCTTCGCGGGCCGCCTTCAAACCATGGTCGGTCATTGCTCATGTTGAATGAGACAACTACCGCTTCGTGACGCAACACGAGGTGTTGTGATGCATCAACTGCATATGCGATGCTTTGAATGTATGGGATGAATAAATGAATGTGTGGATGGATAAATGTGTGAATGTGTGTATGAGGACCGGAAGCGAGTCGCCTTCGTCTGCAAGATCCTCTCCGACCACCCGGGCCCGGCCCGCTGCTTCGCCCTCCCCGGCATCCGCCTCCGCGACCGCTACGCCAGTATCGACGTCTGGTTGCGCTCCCGGGCCCTCACCGGCCTCCGGGAGATCGAGTTTCGCTACGAGACCGAGAGCCCGCAGCTGCACTACCCGCTACCGCCGTCCGTGTTCCGCTTCGCACCCACCCTCTGTGTCGCCAGCATCGGCTACTGCGACTCTCCCAGAGAGATGGCGCCACTGCTCAAGTTTCCCTGCCCCAAGCAGCTCTCCCTGTGTTGCGTCTTCGTGTTGGAAGATGCTCTTCACAGCCTGCTCTGTGGTTGCCCTGTTCTTGAGAGCCTCTTGCTGGAGGGGAATGTCGGCGTTGGTTGCCTCCGCATTAACTCGCCCACTCTAAGGAGCATTGGCATCTGTGTTTCTTCTTGCTATGGTCGGATAGTAGAAAATCCTATCGAACTCCAAGATCTTATTATACAAGATGCCCCTTGCCTTGAAAGATTGATCCCACTTTACCTGATCCGTGGTCCGTTAACAATACGGGTCGTGTGGGCGCCAAAATTAGAGATATTGGGCTTGCTGTCGGACGGAATCGCTAAACTCCATATTGGAACCACTGTTTTTCAGGTAGCAGCAGCCTTCAATTCTTCCATCTTGTATTCTGGATTTATATTTGCTAGTGACTAATTGTGATGTCTCCTGATTCTTGTCCAGAAGATGATTGCCCAAAGCTTGACAACCTCGATGCGTACTGTAAAGGTTTTGGCCCTTCACACTTTGGGGCCTAATCTGGACTTCAGTTGTTGACTTCCTCAAGTGTTTCCCCTGCTTGCAGAAGCTGTATATCGCAGTGAGTATTTGTCTTTGCTTGCTTCATGTGCCAATATGAACAATTGAGACATAATGGAATCTAGTGAGCTGCTGTGTGACATTGCCGACTGCTTAGTAACTGCTTTCATATTGTTTTCATTCTTTTTTATCCAGTCTAACTTACAGAAGAGTAGGAAAAATAAGTGGGGCTACAATCCACTGGATCCAATTGAATGCCTTGAGTCTCATCTTAGACAAGTGGTCATGATATATTATCAGGGCATGAGACCTGATGTTGACTTTGCCAAGTTCTTTGTTTTGAATGCAAAAGTCCTAAAGAAAATGGTATTTGGATCTAAGAACGACTGCAATGATAAGTGGATGGCTAATCAACACAGACGGCTTCAACTGGACAACAGAGCTTCTCAAGGTGCTCAATTTGAATTCAGAACAGGTTTGGTTTCACCCATATGCAACAACCACACACACGATTTGTGGATGGATGATCCCTTTGTCAGCACTTATGCGGATGCTGCATGAAGATTCGATGCGCATTCAGAAGATCGTCTTATCATAGCCTATAATTTGTTGCTTTGCAGTTTTTGACATACTCTTATTGAAGTTAGTTCGAAACTGTGATCACTCTATTGAAGTTGCGAGCAGTATCAGTACGTGTAAATTCGTTGCAACAGCTAACTTTGCATGCCCATGTATAGAAGTCAATCTTTTGGAGCAACATATATACTGTTTTTATGGGGTAACAGCCTCAATCTTGTCCTTGCAATTGTTTGCTTACAAAACCATATGTGAATTTCTGGTGTTGGTTTTCATTTATCTGTTGCTTTTTTTTGTCTACACAAAAGTTTACCAATGTCAGCACTTCTAATTACCTTACTGACAGAAGATATAGAAGTTTGGGGAAAAGTAAGACTTGTTTTTTTATTAATTGCCCCAACATATCTTCAGATGTTGCTTATATATGAATGGTGATTTATAAGATTCTTAAAATTTCAGATCAGCATAACTGAAATAAACATATGACATTCATAAATCGCTGGCAAAGTTTGAAGTTTCTACTTGATGATGGCGTGGAGGGTATACGGCCACAAATCACTATGTATCAGCATTATTTAACTGAAAAGAGAAGTTTCTAATCAGAAGCTCGTACAATGCTAAAAATCAGAAAGAAAAAAAGAAGAAGCAAAACGTATAAAATGTGTCTAATACCATACATGTGATATGGACCACAGTAACAATGCTGATCAAAATTTAATGCACAAAATCATCAGAATTTGATGCCCCATACAGTTAATGTGATATGGACCACCTAAGAGACAAGAATATATGTCTTTCCTTTATCTCCCAAGAAGACGGCGAGCTCGAGTGTTTGCTCCCTTGACCCTGAAGTTCAGCTCATCATAATCCTTCTCTGCATGGCCCATCGCTTTTGTTTGCCTGAATCCAACAAACATAAAGAGGACATGTCATACTCATTACTCACACTATGTTGAATAAATGCCACAGCTTGAAGCAACAATACTCCAAATTAATAATTTAATAACTAACGAAATTGACATCAGCATTCAAACTGTCAGATAGTAATTCCTCTTTGGAAGTTGTAGATACTTTCTTGAGAACTATTCTTCACTACTTTTATATTAATATAATATAATGAAAAGAGTCGAAAACAAAGTGGAAGAGACATATACTGGTTATACATTAAAAATCATGTAATCCCATGCTTACAAATTGACTATACAACAGGAAGAAAAATAAATGAATTACTGACCACAAATCAGTCTAAAAGATAGCGAGATGTGACATTACCTCTCTATCTCAGAGCCCATGTCAACGGCCATCCCTTTCAGCTCGGTCAGTATGTCGCTGAGATCAGACAGAGCATCATCCTGCTTTGCCTTCTCCATCTACCAAAGAAACAACCAGATGATTATTATGGAATACACATGTAGGGCATTAGACGCATCAAGATTTCATCACGTGCGGGACATGCATTAGCTTCACACAAGTGTGTATAGTACCTCAACTTTCTCAAGTGCTGAAGAGGGTTCAGAACGGAATTGGCGTGCATTTGATGGACGTGGATGATCTGCCAACCCTAGTTTCTGCCTTTGCTCCAAATGACTGCCCTTCCTTATGAAGGAATCATCTGCATCCATCATTGCATCCTTTCAGTCACGGACAGCACCATAACCAATACCAAGCGGTACAAGTTTCTCTAGTCATAGTGCAGTCCAGTTCAAGGTAATTACCTCTAGTTAGCATAGGACCCCTGATTGCGCCATTCTTCTTTGGCTTCCACTTTTTGGAAAACAGGCCCCCAAGATCACCCAATAGCTTCTCACTCTGAAAATTTGTGTCAAAAAAGACAGCATATTCAGCACCAGTCACTAACATGTCAGCAATGTGCAAAGGAGCATCCATAGTAACAAGCATGTCATTGTTACGTTAGTACTTCCAGGTTTTAACCCCTCTCCCTTCTAGAAACTACTTCTAAAGTTATTAGCCGGAATCCCAGCAGATTTCAGGATTTCAGGGACTGTCCAATTCTGGTTTGAAATTGGGAGTGCTGTGATTATCTCCCTACTTCAGCAGAACTAGGCTCGTTAGTATAAGAATTTTTTTCATCCTGACTTGCCATGTGCAAATGGAGCATGAACATGCAAAAATGTTGGCGATGCAGGTTTAAATTTGCCTCTGTAAATTAGTCAGTTATCACGCCCTCTTCATGGATTTCAGGATTTCTGAAACTGTCTGGATTTGGAAGAACAGTAGTGACTACCTCCTCTTCAGGCGAACAGAACTAAGCCAGGAGTACAAACAATCTCATAAACTAATACCATATCGCAAATCAACAGAAGAAATTAGAAAAGGCTGTCGTTACCCTGGAGAGATCCTGGTCGATGTCGACGGCCATCATGTGCGTGCGGTGGATCTGCTGCCCCTGCTGGTGGACGGTGACGAGCGTCTTGGACGCGGTGTCCCGCATCTCCTCGGCGATCCTGACGCACCCCTGCGCGCGGCGCGTGGTCTCCTCGGCCTTGTACGCCGCGTACCCCTCCAGCTCCTGCACGGACTGGCCCTCCAGGCCGCCGGCGTCGCGGAAGTCGTTCCGGTAGTGATGGTTGGTCGAGGAGGAAGCGAAGAGCCCGGCCCTGTCGCCGCCGGCGCCGCCGAAGAGAGAGGAGCCCCGCCCCTGCTGTTCGTCCGGGGGAGGCACGGAGGAGGCCCGCGCCGGCTGCCGCTGCTGCGGCTTGTCGTCGTCGGAGTCGGAATCGAACGGGTTCGCGGCCTTCTTCTTGGGCGCGAAGAAGGATCGCTTCCCGCTGCTCATGGTGGCTGCCGGCTGGAGTACTGGTGCCGCGGCAAGTAATCGCGATCGCGGTTCGGGAGTGGCTGCTCGTTCGTGCTCAACCGTTCCTGTGGGGAATTGAATTGAGGAACCAAATTTCATCCGCCATACATACATAATAAATAATTGAAGGACCAACTCCCATGAACTGAAATAAAATTCTCTCACGATATAAACAAAAACAGATCAAAGGATGAAGTCGAGCACCTGTACGGACGAACGAAGGTGGAGAAGATCGAGAGATCGGCGGCTGGGAATCGGGCAACGAACTGCGGCACACCCGAGGAGGAGGAGGATGAAGCGTTGGCGGCGCCGGTGGGGATATAACAGTTAGCCGAAGACGACGAAGAGCAACTGCTAGGATATACCACCGTGCCCTGGTCGTGGGGGAATGGGGATGCACGCGAGCGAGGACACGGTCGCTGGAGCTGGATGGCGTGCGGCCACGTTTAGTAGCTTTCGTTTTAATTTGGTAATAATTGTCTAGATATTGACTAATTAGGCTCAAAACGTTCGTTTCATAAAGTACAACCAAACTATGTAATTAGTTTTTGATTTCGTCAATATTTAATACTTCATGTATATACTGCAAATTTAATATGACGGAGAATCTTCTTTTTGCATAGTGCCAAAGTTTAGATTTTGGATGAACTAAACATGCCCCATTTCCATCCGGCTTCTTCCGGCTCGCGCACACACGCTTCTTGTCGTGAAAATTATTACGTACTAGAAAGAATGACTTGTTGATTGAGCGCGTGCGACTTTTTCCTCGTCAAGGACGCGGCGGCGGCCCGGTCAAGGGCGGCATTGGTGATGGCGCTAGGAAAGCTGACGTGCTTTCTTGCTGTGCTTTGCTTAGCGCTGAGTTAAATTGTGGCCTTATTTATGTAGTTATGTTTCACTAGGTGAAACTGTGGACACCACATCACGTGCTTTCTTGCTGTGCCTTCTTCCCGTTTCTTGCTGTGCTTTGCTTAAAGCTGACGCCCCTATTTCATTTTTTCGGGATTTCTTATATACTGAGTATTACCTGAATTAGTAAATAATGTACTTATTGGTAATTGTGCAAATGGTACAGATATTTTTCACCTGTATCCAAGTTGGAAACCATTTGGAGTTCAGATCCATCATTCGAGTCCAGATATTCAATACCCGATACCATATCCGTATCCAAATACTCAAATCCGTATATTCAATACCCGATACCATATCTATATCCAAATACTCAAATCCATATATTTAATACCTGATGCCATATCTGTATCCAAATACTCAAATCGATATACATGATGTCAATATCCATTGGCAACTTATCCGACATAGTTGATCATTATCCATATTCGAATCTAAATCCAAGAAATATTGCATCCATTAGCATCTTATCCAACATAGTTGACCATTATCTTTATTTGAATCTACATCCAAGAAATATTATAGTTATCTGTGTATCCGACTGTTTGCACTCCTACTTAGAGCATCTCCAGTAATTCCTCAAAAATTTATCCCCGATATGTATGTATTGATATAGTTCAATTATTTTTATGAATATTTGGGGAGTTGCTGCAGCAGTACCCAATATATCTCTCATAATACCCATATGGAAGGTGGGTTCCATAGAAATGTAGAAGAAAAGATGGCTAAAAAATGATAGTTAGCATTTGTTTAAAAAATGATAGTTGTGTTGGTCCTTATGGTATTGGGAGAGATACAACTCTTATTAGAAAACTATTGGACAAAAAAGAAAAACATAAGTCTATGTTCCCAATATGACAGTTTTATTGGAGAACTGCCGAAGCAATATGACAATATTATGTTTCCAATATGATTTTTATTGGAGAACTTCCCAATGACAGTTTTATGTTCCACAGTTTTGCTGAAGAACTGCCGAAGATGCTCTCATGGGACTATATTTGAGTAAAGAGATTTGAGAGTCCAACATTTAAGGACACGAGTACAGACATTATTGAAGCAAGATTGTTGCTCCCCGATCCTAAAATGTAGGATTAAAAAAATGAGACCCAAAGAGGGGCCTTGCTGGAGTTATTCAATACACATATAGAACCATAAAAGATATTATATCGTTCGATAACCATATAGCACAGCATTATATTTTCTGTATCTATCACATTCAACCTTTCTATGAAAATTTCACGAAACCAACTCCGACGAT